AATTAGTTAAACACTTGGATCTTGGGTTCTATACTACGAAGTTCACATTAAAGAGGTTATATATGGTATTAGAGAGGTTTAAAAGGTTAGCTACATGTTGAAATTTATATCTAGCCAAAAAAAATTTCAGATACTAAAAATAGTAATAATAATTTACAATATATGATTATTATTATCAAATTAGCATTATTAATATTATTATATTAATAGTGAGGGTAACGATGCATGAATTGTAGCCTCCAACAACATAACAATGGCAAGACATGGTAGAAACAAAAAATACAATGAAGATTGACAGAAGAATCTAATGAAACACAATAACAGATTTAGATCAGAAAATAAGAATGAAAGCATAATCCATAAATCAAAGCAAAGAACTTACTAGCACCTTTCCCTTCAGTGACAATTTATATAGTGCCCCTCTCATCCACCAATGCGAGTGCTATTAATTGGGATAAAAATGCTTATATACATGAATGTATGGACCATATTTAAACTCAATGATATAGATTTTATTATTCATGTTAAAAGATTTAGTTCCACCTAATCTTGTATTAAAGAAAAGCATCCATTGCCTTAAAAACATTTTGATCCATATATTTGAGGATCCCACAGCCATAATAGTGTTCTCTAGAAAGTGGGAAATACTATTCAGGATGCCCACTGAAGTGACAGTTCAGATTCCTGTACATTAAAACAAGAATCCTCCATTGACGGGAGCATTGGCTGCTAGTTCTATCTTGGATGTTCTTTGCAATCTCCTCCCGTACAGCTTTATGAGACAATCTTCTGGCCTTTGCAAGTGTTCCTGGACCTTACGTATCAAGGCCATATGCTCCTCTTTGCTCCATCCTCCATGACACTTGATCGGCTCCTCTGGTCCCTATCAGAATACATTCAAATTCATGCTACAAATATTTAATCAAAGGAATACCTTGTGCAGGCGTTCCATTTCCATTGCACCCAGCCAGAACCACGTTTTTATAAACCCAGCTATTATTAATAAGAAACACAAAAGTTTATACTTACACATATACATATAGAAGCCATCTTTTCTTTGATTCATGGCCGCGAAGGTGTATGCCCTAATGTCTAAGAATTCAGATCTCTTACAGTTAAGACTGGTTAAGAAGACCAATTCCTCGTCCAAGTGGCCACAATACTCCCAAGTTCTTCTCCACCAAATGAAACACTAACAGAGGATACATGCAGTTGGAGACAACGATCACATCACCTGCTAGATGGGCCATCCACTCTTCACCATGAATGTCAATTTCACCAAGTGGCCACTCACCACCAAGTATTTCCCAGATGAGAGTATGGCTGAGTGTGAGCCATTTACCAAGCTCTTCATCCTTCTCTAGCATGCTTAGAGCCTCTTTGTATCCCATATCTGTCACCTTCCCTATGAACAAGCAAAATCCTTCTTCCTCTTGAAAACATCGAACAGGCACCCAGCTTCCGGAGCCAGAATTGTACTAGAGAATGTAGGCCACATCCTCTTCATCAGTGATGTTGAGCACTACAATCCGATAGATCCCTATCTCAAGATCCACATCCATTGCCTTGATCAAGAAAACCTTCTCAGTACACTGAAGCACCTTCCAAGAGTTTGTGAGCGGATTGCCCACAGCCAGAGACCGTGAGTGCCTTCCGTCTCCGGCCACCCAGCAAGCGTGCCACAAACGAGCCCATTTGCCATGACATGGCTCTCAAACATTGGAGGGAACTCCAAGCGGGCCGAGAGGCAGCGATTATGGCTTGAGTGGTCGGCTGGAGAAAGGGCGCTAGAGGACTGTGGATTGGGCGCCACGGGAGAGAATCATCCGGACCACCCAGGGAATGCCATGATGCTGTTCCTTCCCGTGGCGATCTAGAAACGAGCGAGAGGAAAGAATGTGGTACTAGGCACTCGCATTCGCAGGAGGATGTCCATAAGCAATTCCTGCTCCTTATCAAGGAAACCATTCATTGCCTCAAAAATCTCTTGGTCCATATGCACAAGGATCACCCATGACCATTCACCAAATTGCTGCTCTTCAGAGAATGGGAAATAGTCTGCAATGTACTGTATGTGACAACTAGACCTTCCATCTTGTCCTGCCATTGAACATAGAACAACAAGCTTCTCCTTTCTTCCTGGCACAGCCAGTATGCATGGTGCTAAGGCTATATAGTCTGCTTTCGTCTGCTTGATTGGCTGCTCTAGTCCTTGTCATCGCCTTGTTCCCACTTTCTATTGCAACATGAAGAAATTAAAAGAATTTAATTTAGGGTCGACTATAGTACACATAATTATTAAATATGTCTCTTGGATAAATCTATTATTTAGTTTTCAAGTTTTAAGTTGAATATAAAGTTGAAATATATGTTATGAAATATTTTTTCTTAGTGAGAATAAATCTAATTATGAGTGCTAGGGATATAGGAATAGGTATATTAATTGAGGTTTAGACCCGTGCTTATATACAAAAATGGATGGATTACATTCACTCTGAAATATATAGTCTATATGTTTTAGTATTATAATTAGTGTACTACTTAGACAGGGTAATAAATGTATATACATCCATATATTTATAAACATTATACCATCCTCCTCTCTAGAAGATGAAAAAGTGATGACAATAAATTAAATGAAATATCTAGAGCTTTTGTTGGATGATTACAAACTACTATAAGAATCTGAAACTCTTACAAAATTACTAAAAAAATTGTTGACAACTATAACTGAAACAAAACCTAGAGTCATGGCATAAGCATCAGTCAATTATAGAATCCCGATGAACTAATTACAACTCTATATGCAATTGCTAAATGCTTAAATCAATATCAAAATCATAATTTTGAACCAAAATAAGGGACTTTAAGAGCCATTGCAATCTATAAAGCACCATTGCAAAAAATAATATATCCCATCTCTAAGTTTATTTGTTGACAATCCTCCAATACCATCATTAACTTAGACTTATGACCATAAGTAAAATTTACCTCTTCGTATTTGTTTAGCATTGTATATAGGAAATTGAACTCACTCCATTTATCCTCTATATCCTTTTTATTATAAGTAACTAAAAAGAATGATTTGAAAAATAATCTATAGGATTCAAATATAAAAGGAAAGGGTTTATGAATAAAAGTGCACCCCCTTTTCTAACTAACCTTTTCAACATATAACTCACATTGATTAATGGAAAAATTAATAAAAATGTCTACACTTCTAAAGGAACAAATAGATAAAACAAAGACTTTCAATAACACTCATAATTAAAGACATACACTCAATTTGAAACTCTAGCCAAAGTGATTTAACCCTTGGAACAAGGGAATATTCAACACCAAAATTGATCAAAAACACTACTAATGAATAAAAGTAAGATTCTCAACTTCATGCACATATGTAACATCTAAACTAATATGAGGACATAAAACATTTAACTCAACACTGGACTAAAAATGAGAATTATAAGAGTCATAAATGATTAGTGTGCAAAGAGAAGAAAACACTATAGATAAGAAAGAAATTGAAAATGTGGCTCAAGCTGATAAATAAAAAAAGGTTAGGAAAGAGTAAAAGGTAAAGAGAAATAATCAAATGACAAATTGAAGGATTAACACCTACCTCGTGAAATCTCCACTTCATCTCCAAAGTTATCTTCATAATAATTAAGTTTGTCAAAATGATTTGGAATCCACTTGGGTTTATACACATCGTCTTCCCATAAATTTGATCCTTGAATATTTTCCAAAAATTAGACTGCATCATCCATAACTCACTAATCGATATCACACTTATGCTTCATCTTAACCAAAGATGGTAGAACAGGACAAACCATATAATCATATCCCACAAAAGTTGGAGATGGTAGCACACCAAAGATGAATATAGCACCAATATAATCACACTTCACAGCATAAAAAGTTTAATCCAACAGAATAGTATTAATAGCCTTAAGTGATGTACTTTTTAATTGATGATAGGATGGCATAGTAGAAGAAGAGAATGCAATGAAAATCAAAAGAAAGAATAAATCTAACCACAGTAATAGCTAAAGTTCTAGATTTTGCAAAAAACTAATATACATCTAAATCTAAAAGAGAATGAAGGAATAAGAACAAAAAGCACAATCCCAAATACTAAAGTAAAACATTGTTAAAAAATTTTGCTCTTTAGGGACAAATTGTAATGCTTCTCATCTCCATTAATGTGAGTGCATGAAATATGGAAATGAAATACAAAAATGTGCATATCAATTAGCTCAAAAACTTTAGCTTATATACAAAAGTGAGTGGTCCAAATTAAAATTAATCTTACAGCTACCAAAATTTTACTATATTAATATTAGTATACAGCATCATAGCTGTACACTTGGGCCTCGCATAACAATTTTAAAATAATATAACATAGTATAACAATTATTATTATTTAGTAACAGAGAGAGAGAGAGAGAGAGAGAAACCAATTAGATCCATTGGTATAGCTTTGTAAACCAAACTCATCAATTAAAAGAGTGATGATGTTAATGTATGTGTATAAACAAAAGAGAATCCATTGTGTTCCACTGTAATTCTTGCAAGAAATTGAAGTATGAGATGATGTGTAAGTAAGAAATTATAAAATAAAGAAGACAATGTAATAATATACTTATAATTTTGCAATTTTCCTTCCTCCAAGTGAATTCTTAAGAGGTCACCAACTAAGGTTTTTGTGAGGCATCATCCAATGAAGATCTCCAGAAAGACTATGTTACTGTTGAATATTGTTGGAGAAAAAATAACAATTTCAAATATTTAAAAACAAAAACTAAACTGTCAGAATTTACTAAAAATCCTAGACATGTTAATCTAATTGCATATTAACTGTTAGATGGTAGACTATATTAAAACATTATTCCCATTATCCTACAGATTATTCGTGGTAAAAAGCGTCTGCCACGTGGAGATTCGGATTAACTGTTTCCTTGCTGCGAAGAGCCCTAAAAACGTTATGGCGGGGCGGTGGTTCTTCCTTCTTCCATCGGTAACCGCTCTCCGCGATTGCTGCGCGCCATAGAAAAATTGTTTAGATTGTGATTGTCTCTCAATGCAGCATTCGAGTTCTTCTCTCCAGGGTTTCTATCAGTGATGTTATTGTCGCCCCGTATTTCTCATTTTCACGCAGCGGCATTCTAATCGCTAAAGCATCAAGAAATCTCAGCTCGTTTGAGTAGTTGCTGACTAAATTTCTTCTTTTCTTTCTTTTCTTCAGCGAATTTTAGGAAGCTCCGAAGAACACACCCGGGTCGTGTAAGAATTTTTCATCTCTTGACATGATGGTGATAGTTGTTTATTTTTTTCAGAGGCGGTGCTGGCTATGGCTGAAATCACTTCATCTTACAGTGTTGTGGACACCGACCATGAATTCGCATTTCCGCAAGCCTCGAAACAAGAAAGCAAGGCTCTTGATGCTCCAGAAAAGGATCAAAGTAGCTGCCTGAATGCTTCACCAGACGAAATCCTTGAGCTTCTTAAAGGAGACCACTCTTGCGAGGCAACCAAACTCATCGAGGAGTCTGGAATGATCGAAGTGGATGAAGCTCCCTCGGAAGATCGAATGCATGCCTCGACGATGGTGTACAGCTTCATTGGTGATCCGGGTGCCTCTTTTCTGGGAAACGTTGACACCAAAGAGCGTGACTGGGTTTCTATCCCAGCTCCGGTTAAACCAGAAGATCAAGCTGCTTCTATCGTCTACGATCAAGACACTCTCGCAAAATCGCCAGAAAACACAGGATGGATTTCCGTGGACGTGCCTGGCCATCAGAAACAATCCGACGATACGTGCTCGGTACCGTGCTCGCTGGTGGAATGGATAACTGTGGACATGCCTCCGAAAACTGGACAAGCTGACGCATCGACGAAGCGAGGCATGCAGTATAGCGAGCATGTTTGCGTCAGCTTCTCGGAGAGAACTCAACAAAACTCCGGGGGTCACAAGTACTACTCGGCTGCCAGTTCGCAAGCTTGCGGCATTGGACCGGTTCCAAGGACACGCAAAAGGCGAACGATTTCTGGGAAGATCAGAGCAAGAATAGAAGCACTTGAGAATTCATTCCGACAGGTAAAACAGTTCGAACAGGTTTCATTTACCTTTGTAACATTGCTGTACGCACAGGAGCTAGACCGCTTGAATTCCCCGCTCACGAAAGTGAAAAACAGAAGAATTCACGAGGGTCTGAGACGTGGAGCTGCCGCAGCTGTTGCCATTGACGAGGGAGGAGTGCCAAACTTTAAGGAAGTGCAGCAAAGAATAAAGCGGCTGAGTTTGTGCGAGGAGAAGCCACCGAGGCCAATCCATCAGCTCGGTCGATTCGAAAGCCAGGCAGCGACGTTCCCAGCGACGTTCCGGTCTCAAGTGCCGGAAACTGTCATTAGCGAGTGCCAAAGCTCGCAAGCTAACAGTGACGGGTCCTCCATGGTCCCGGAAACAAGTAACGAAGTGAAAAACGTTTCCGAGCAGCTATTGCCTGAACTAAACCGTGGAGTGGAGCCCGATGATGAGCCAGTGAAACCGGATAATTTCGAGGATGAAGAATGGGAGCTCGCAGGAAAAAACGGTGCACAGCCAGACCAAGAAAAAGAGGTAATTATATGTTTACTTTTCTCTCGCTGAAGTCTTCGTGCCTTCTTCACAGTTTGAACTTGAAGGAGTTCCAGTGGAATTGACAGAGGGAATTCCCAAGTGCAAGAATCAAACTTCTGTGGGTGGATTGGTTAAGCAGGTAAACCGGCCACCTGAGAGCTTTTCGTATGTGTTCCAGTTTATTCAGTCCGTGTTTACTAGCTTACAGGTTATCAGTGGAGCAGCGCTACTGGCAGGACTCATATTTTTGTGGCCAAGGGGTAACAACTTGATCTGGAGGTGCGCGGGTGGATTAGAGTTTCTTTTTGCAAATTTGCCTCTTTCTTTCCACAGTTTCTTCGTGTTTATATTTTGCTTGCTACTCCCGGGGACTTGATCTTTCTGACCATTGTGTTTTGTTCTTTGCTCGCGTCCCTGTTGTTCGTAAAGGGCTCCTCAGAAAAGGAAGAGGCAAGCATAAGAGACTTTCGTTATCTCAAGTTTAATCGTATTAACGTGACAATGTGTGTAGGTACAACGTGGTGACGAAGGCAAGCTCGTATCAGGAAATTGCTTCTTACAGTGACTACAAGAAATCGCCAGGAAACCGGTTTAATCTGGAAGTAAGAACCCAAGCTAAATTGCTCTAATCTGAGTTTATCTTCGTGCAAGTGTTTCAAGGGATGAAAGTAGCACAATTCATTGGACTTTCATAACAAATAGAATTACTATCAGTTTAGTTCACGGGGAGATCTCTTTCCACATTAGCTCAAATCACAATGCTCAATTACAGAAAAACGCTGTAGCGTGGGCTTACTGTTAAGTGTTGCTAGATCCAATTCAGACTTGTGAAACTCCAAAGATTCTTGCTGTAAGGACAAAAGTTCGGGAGAAGGGAATTGTCTTCAAATAACAGGGTAAATGTTTCAAGCACTAATAGTTTCTCAATCTTATTGTCGGGGAAGCCCGCAAAGGTTCTAGCCATTAATTAGTCTGTAAGTCAAGGAGCTTTAGAATCAACTTTGACACGAACGCAAGTAATTACAGATCTAAAACGCAGCTTTCGCATGCCCGTGGGAATCCTTTGGTCCTCTTTTAGCAGCCGATAGTAGAAGTATTTTGATTTTCCAGAAAAGCTGGGGACCAAATAGATTGGGTTGAATTGGACACGGCAAAAGATACAAAGTGGTGTTCCTTAAGTCTCTAATCTCGTAGCTTCACGACGAGTATCAACGTGTTCCAAAAGCGTGATTGGTTCCATGGGGGAATGTGCGTTAAGGCTTTGATATTAATCTTTTTCTCTTGATGTTATGTAATTGTGAGCGTGCCGGAGTGGTTATCGGGCATGACTAGAAATCATGTGGGCTCTGCCCGCGCAGGTTCGAATCATCCTGCCGCTCACGTTTACATCTTGGAATTTTATGCTTTTCGTTGAATACTAAAAAGCCTTAAAGCACGTGAATCTCGTGAATAAAAGCATGCACGCTCGTTGAAAAGAAAGATTTAGTTTTGGCTAGGTTTAGTTCCGCCTAATCTTGTATTGAATGAAAGCATCCACTACCTCAAAAATATCTCTGTTCATATGTTTGAGGATCCCATAGCCATAATATTGTTCTCTAGAAAGTGGGAAATACTGTTCAGGGTGCTTACTGAAGTGACACTTCAGATTCCTGTACATTAAAACAAGAATCCTCCATTGATGGGAGCATTCTATCTTGGATGTTCTCTGCAATCTCCTCCTATACAGCTTTATGAGACAAGTTGCTCTGCAAGTGTTCCTGGCAACATATCAAGGCCATATGCTCTTTTTTGCTCCATCCTCCACGACGCTTGATCGGCTCCTCTGGTCCCTATCAGAATATATTCAAGTTCATGCTACAAATATTTAATTGAAGGAATACCTTGTCATCGTCGCCTAGTGTGCGTGTTCCATTTCCATTGCACCCCATCCTAAATAAAAGAGCAAAACGTAAAGCAGATTATATAGTACGGACATTAGCGCTTAAATTCGAACCAAAGTTTGATAATTTTCGGGTTTAGGGTTTTGCCATGGGAGGAAGCAAGGTATGGCGACCGCATTCGTTTTCCTTCTAGAGCCATTGCCTTCGCGCATTTTCTTTGCAGCGTTCTGGGGATTTGCTGGCTCTGGAGCGCATCACTCCTCTGGGTAAGCGTTTATTTTTTTCACGGATCGATCGCCTCAAGGTCAAATGCGCTCTTTTGATTTTGACCAGAAAAGAGATTGCGTGTATGTAATGAAGGGGAAAATCCAACGGAACAATCTTCTGATCGTCTGTCAGTCTTGAGCAGGGTCAAAGAATTTTTACCTTTGATAGACACGGCAAATCGCAAGCTTTCTTCGGATGATCAGGTTTTTGTTCGTGTGATTTCTTCTTTGGGATTTACCTTTCAAATCCAGGAGAAAGGCTCAGCGAAACTAGACATAGAGCACTTGACGAATGGAGAAGAAGCTCCTCACATTCGAATGGTACGTGAACTTTGGGAACTTCCACTGACCGGATTTGCAATATCCAGGACCTGGCACTCGGAGTCACGGAACTTTACACGCCGGAAGCCATTTTAGCAGCACAGCAAGCAGTGGGCGGCCGCGTCCAAGATCAACCGGAGCTTCTAAGCAACTCAAGTGATTCCGCCGAGCAAGACACTGGAGAAGAAGAATCCGAAGAATCCGAAGAAGAAGAAGAAGAAGAAGAAGAAGGACCAGAAGAAGTAGAAGAACAAGAAGAAGAGGAAGAAGAAGAAGAAGAAGAAGAAAAACGAGACGATGAAGGAGAAGATGAAGAAGAAAATCAATGAATGAAGACCTCAACAAGAACTGACGACTCTTCAAGCAAACATACGTGATCTATTCACAAGGAATGTTTTTACAGAGAAGATTTGAGATGGCCACCTTTGATCCTCCACCCTGACAATCGCGATGTAGATCGAGGAGCTTGGCTTTCCCGGGCGGTTTAGAGTTATATGCCGCTGTGTGGCCATTGGTGGATGACCAAAGCTTCTACGCTAGTGGAGAGAAGTTCGCGATGCTGCTCTAGAACCTCGTCACTTTGCGGCCTCCATGGAATCGGAGTCGTCGTTAATGGCAATGAAGGCAGCGTATCAACACCATCGAGCTTTATAGCTTTGGCACACCTGCAAAACTTGCGTGCCAAGAGAAATTTGAGACGGTGTCACAGCTTGATCAAGACTTACATGAGAAGGTCGCGCGAGGATATTATTCCATGAGGGAGAACCGATCTCGAAGTCCAGCATTGGCTTGCTTTTTATTTTTCGTAACGCAATCGCAAATAGTAGTGAAGTCTTCCTGCAAGCAACACGAGTTAGAACGGGAAACTTTCAAGAATGGAGCTCAGAGCTAGACTGTTCTTGGGAAGTACCAAAGTGATCCACAAAAGCCATACCTTTTGCTGATTACGAAGATGTTGTCACGCGATCCACGTCTCAACGGCGTCACAGCACACGAGGCACGGGATGCTCCAGGTCTGAGCACACTTGTCGACGCTCTCCTTGCACAAGTCGCACAGCACCAGATGCCCGCACGGAATGGCAAACCATCGAGCCGAAGCTGCGCAATCCTTGCAGAGCTTGCACGTCACCCCACTGCATTGGTTCAGAGATGGCGGGATGTTCTCGACGTTGTCCAGGAATATGTTGCGGCTGAACAAGGAGTCCTGGAAGGTGTCGCTTGGCTGCAGAGCTGGAGAAGGCCGTGGCTCTGGCAACTTCTTCGCCTGCTCGAGCCTCGTAGCCTCTGTGGTGGCCGGCGGGACACTCTTGAGGACTACGTGTGTCGCTGGTCCCAAACCCACTGGCTCGACTTTCGGCTCACAGATTTCCGGCCACGCACGAATGAAGTCGCTCAGTTTCTCGAAACCAAGTGCTGTGTGGTCGATCTCCAGCCCACAGGTTGCCCGGAAGTCGCCTTTGAGCGAGCAGAGTGGATAAGATTCCCCTTCCTCGAGGCGCTTGGAAACCTCGGTCAGAAAACCAGGCAGCCAGTCTCGGAACCTCTGAGCCCAGGGAGGAAGCGATGGAGAATTCACCAGGCTTGCCGGAGGAGCGTCTTCCTTCTTCGAGATGTCATCGGCTTGCGGGAGTAAGTCTTTGGCAACACGAGCGTCCAGCACGTCGATCATAGTCTGCCAGGCATGAAAAAGAATGAAGCTTTGGAGAATTTTCAGCAGCGTACCCTCTTTCCATAGATGTACCCGCTCTTCGTCCGGGTCGCTTCAAGGAAAGAGTTCTTGTTCCTGAATGTCACGATGCCAAACCTCCCTCGCTGGCCGTCGGCCGAATGGAATGGAAGCACGACCGCGTCCAAGACCGGGCCGAAATTCTCCTCGAGGAAGCAAAACAGGGCCTCTGCAGACAAATGCGCGAGATTACGAGGCGATCGATGGAAATATCTGCGTAGAAGAGAGGGATTTCGATCGCGAGCGCGAGCGCTTACCCGAATCGACGAACTCAGGCAAGCCGGAGAAGAGAACCTTCTTCATTCTGCGTGAATCGGAGCCCGCCAGCGCTGCGCATTCACTCGAGATGGATCCTGACCTCGACAGCTGCTGGATGAGCGAATTACCCGCGCATTTGGCCCGATCGCTCGGGCGCCTAAGGCCTAGCATCACTCTGTTCTAGGGTTTTAACGTCCCTCCATTTGTTATATACCTCATCTGGTGGTCATTCCGGATGGAAAGTCCAGAAGATTATAGCCCTACATTTTAAAAAGCCCGCCACTGACCTTTATCTTCTAAAAGTCATCCCCGCCGTCCGTTGCCATTGAAAGCATCCAGATCGTCCAGTTCCTATGGATGAGCTATGGCGGTCTTTAGTGCGTTCCTTCCCATTCCGCCACTTTGCTCGCGACGACGATCATGTCAAATATTTCGAGAAAGGCGCCATGGAGCAGCTCGAGCATCCAAGAATTCCTGCATTGTAGGGGCGCTCGTCATCGATGGCCCTTGCGCCAATCCCCAAACCCTCGAGGATTCGATCGATCAGGTATTCTCTCGAGGTTCGCTCTGCGACTTACCGCCGCGGTTCAGGCTAGAGAAGCAATCCAAAGAGCTGTGGACGATGGCAAGAAAACGCAGCAGCTAGAGCTTCTACTCCCGGTGAACCAGCGAGAATTTAATTTTCTCGACACGGAGCCGAGGTACTTTCTATGTTCTATAATTCCAGAGCTACCTATAGATTTTTCGCTCGAGCAGGGACTATCCTTGTGGTGTTGGAGAGGAATTCCAGGCTTGCAGCAAAATGGTCACCGCAATTTTTCGTGGAATGCAAGAAGGTGGCCAAGCACTGGATTCACGAAGAATTGGCGAAGTTGAGAACGAGATGGATCCAGTCGGATTGATCTATCCTTCGTCGAAGACCATTGCAGCCGTGGTCTTTCCTATAGCCGAGACACTCAACCAGGTAAGTTCCTCTCTCTCGAATCCTTGGTTTTGGATTATAAAGCTTTCTCATGGCAGATTAGATCTTTGGTCAAGAGCGATCCAACAAGGCCACTTCTTCTGGTAAATCCACAGTGGAAAGCATCGGGCCAAGTTGTTTCGGACTTTGGATTTGGACCATGGAAAAGGTTGGTTTTTGAGATGTTTTTCATCGACTTTTGATAATCATATTTACAGGAAAGCTGAGGAATTCTTGGAAAATTTCGAGAGAGTCTACAGCCTCATTGAGCAACGAATCGGAGAAGCCTCAAACGTTACATCCTCTTCCACTGGAGGAGTGGTCCGGCTTCTAAAATGTTATTCCTATGACTGGCACGTAAGTTTGAGCTTTAGGACTACGAGAAAAAAAATCGTCCTCATGGTTTTTGGTGGGTGGAAACAGGTATACTTGATGTCCTGGGATGGAAACAGCGAGCTCCTTGGAAAGTTTCCAAACCAGCCGACGTATAAAGAGCTTGAAAGCCTCGTTTCACAGGTATCGCTGCTCGAAATCGTTCTTCTCATGTTAACGTTGATGTGTCCAGGCACGAAAGGCGATGCCATGGAAAGCACCTCCAAGGATGCTTGGTGGCTCAGAGCCAGCACCACCTCCACTGCCGAAATCTCTTTCAGCGCCACTCACAGCCGATGAGATTGATGCTATGGAGGCAGCGGCAGTGAGGCGTGCATTGATCGCCCTGGGCCAGCCATCATCCGGAAGAATCTCTACTCTGAGAGAAAGATTGAAAGAAGCTCAGCTCCAAAGACCGTCAGCCTAAAACCTTTGCGTTTTTTTAACACGTACACTATATATCAGCTCTCGAGGAAGATAACAGTGGAAGACCAAGCGCAACGATGGAGTAAGGCGGCAGTGAGAGTTCCATGTCGGTTGCCGCGCTAAGGAACAAGCTCGTTATAGGCACCACCTGTAAAAAATTCTCTATTGCTCGATCGTGAATAGAATGGACTTGGCTTACCTTATGAGGATTCTGGAACGAGTTTTCATCCATGAGGCTTTCGCTAGAAAGAACTGTGATGGTCGAAGCAAAAATATCGATCTCGTTGGACAAAACTCCCTCCAGAGACACTCGAATCTCTACTGGAAACTGTCCATAGTTCACAGCCTGCTCGACGTAATCACTCGTTAGCATGCTATGCGAAAAGAATTCTTTACCTTTAACACGAGGCTGGTTCCATCTTCTATGCGTACAGCAGATAAAACTACGGGTACCGCGCTTGTGTTTAAACTCTCGACCGCGAACGGTAAAAGTTTTGCCCCGTTTGACATCTTAAAGAAGTGCTGCATCCAATAGCTTGGTGTTCCATACTGTTGCCATGAATCGAAAACTATAGCATCGGGATTCCATCTAGACAAGATACCAAAGCTTGTCAGTAAAAATTTGAGAACTTAGAAAATAGTTTCCATACCGCCTGTTGTTTGTGTTGACAAACAATGGAGCATAGCTTGCCATTTCGACTATGTCACTGCCAAGGTGCTTCGTTCATTAGCAGGACAAGACAAAGAGAAGAATGCTTTGATCAAACCTGTTGAGCTCTATACCAATCAGGAATGCTGCTTCCGCAAGAGCAGCAAGAAAGCTTCCCTGTCCTGCGTCGCTCTTGACAACTGCATACTCGCTCACAAAAACCTGTAGAATACACATTGCAATAAATATACCGGTGCTTGTAATCACATCTGATACCTTCGGACCATCCCTGGAAACGTGATTGAATTTATGAACCATCGAGAACAAAGTGTTTGCAGACGTATAGATCTGAAAGAGAGAGCGTAAAAAAAATTTCGAGATAAAAACAGGCTTTACGTACATGGAAATCGAACAGATCAGCCGGGTGACCAAGAGGTTTTAGTGTTCCATCGCAGTTAGATATCAGATTGATATCTGGATATGCTTCCTTTATCGCATAGTAGAACTTTAGATAGTTCGCTGCAGCCAAAGTCTGAATAAGTTAAACAATAGAGTATCCAAATAAGTAGCTCACCGTGGTAGTACTGCCTCTCGCAGTCTTCATTACCAATAGCCATGTAGAAAAGAGGGAAAGGTTCGGGATGTCCCATAGCCTCGCGAACTCGACCCCATTTACTAGTCATAGGTCCCCTTGCAAACTCAATACCGTCAAGAATGTCCTGATAGTGTAAAAGTATTTTACGTATTTCACGAGACAACCAGGTTTTCTTAAGTGATCCAAACCTGAATGAAAGGATCAAGAAGCTCCGGTAAAACCTCGTCCGAGTGACTGATCCCTGCAAGAACAAAACATGCAACAACTCAAAATACTACTCCAAGCTTCCAAAAATGTACCGTTATTGAAAACCCAGACAGGCAAGGTCTCCAGGTCCTCTGAAAGCTAAAAGCTTCATCACTTGAGTAACTACGTCGCGAAGCTTGAAAAAAAGGGAGTACCTGGAGAAGCTCAAAAAACCCGAGCCCGTCATCCGACCAATAATTCCACTTATCACCAAAATGACCAGGCCTTTCCTCCCAGGGGCCGACTGTATCTCTCCATCTCCACGCGTTTCGCAGGCTTCCACCTTCAACATAACATCCGCCTGGAAAGAGTTGTGCTTAACTTGAAAAGCCTGATAGATTTCGTCACCTGGAAAACGAACGAATCCTGGCTTTAAATCTTCAAGCATGAGCGCAAGCTCCTTTCGGAATCCATGTCCCTGCGCAGAAGATATTGGAAACGTATGTTCCGATGCACGAGTTACCTTGTACGTCTCTTCAGGCATCGCTGAAACCTGGTCGAGCCATAACACTCTTTTGTGCATGCTTGTCAGAGCAAGTCGAGCGTAGTGATCGGTGTCAAAAGCTTCCAAAACCATCTCGTGTTTGCTCCATTCCTCTGCCTCTGAAGCGTCCAATCTTTCCAGAGTGTGCATTAGAACGAGAGGAAGAGCTAGGTAATAAAAAAAGAGACTTACATGAGATCACTTTGAGCCAAAGTTGTTGTTCCATCTCTTGACGTAAACGCAATGGAAAGATTGACTTTGTCGAGAGATCGTATCCAGAGAGAAACTTTGTATGTGTTCCCAGCTCGAATGTCCTAAAAACAAAACATGATCAGCTCCAAGCTTTGCATGCAAGAAACTGCGACGATCACCATTCCCCAAAAGCCTGGATTGGCGATTCCCACCCCACCTTCCACCTCTCGAAGTACTTCCATCCTCAAAGCAACTGGGTTTCGCTCAAAGCAAGAGGATCGTTCCGACTCCAGCCACACCTGGGAGTCGTCACCAATCGCGTACCATGGCGCTAAGTTGGATGGAGTGTTTTGGCCCCCAGACTCAAATCCTATAGAGAAAAATCGTATCAAATTCCATGGACAAGAAGATAGAAAAGAATCACAAAACCAGGCATCGCTCTTCGAGAAAAGGTAAAGAAATCCATCTCGGGAGACGAATTTGAAAGAAAGAATTACCTCTGTTACTGACGAGCTCGGCCCAGAGACCTCCTCCCCCTGCATGGTTGATTTCCTGGGCGATCGATCGAAATTTCAGACAAAATCGATGAAAAAATGCAGCTCAAACCTCGAAGAACACTCCAAACAGCGTGGATGGAATCCTCCGGCCAGCGCTTCCAGCATCCACTCGCATGGCGAGATCGGCGGCATCGATCGCTCGCGGCGCCACGAAAGCGAAGACGAAGAACACCGCTAGCAGCATAATAGAGGAGCTCATTATTTACTCTCTTTTTTTTAGGGTTCTTGGCCTTAGGGATTATGGCCAAAAAAGCGAAGAGGAGGACGCAGCAGCGATTTCGTCCACCGCGGCCGGATCAGCAGCCCTCTGGTGAGTGTAGCGATGAATCTCCATCTCCAGCAGTGGAATCAGCTCCTGGCGAGCATAGGAATGGCGATGGATTGGAGCTAGAACAGGCGGTCAAGTGCCGGCATTTCACCCGCGGGGTGGATGTCGAGAAGCTCGGGGAGAAGCTGCGAGAGGCCGCCTCGCAGCACTGCCTGGATTGCTCTAAGAAGCAGCCAAAGGATGGGAAGAAGAAGCCGGTGAATCGAAAGAAGAACCAGCAAGAGAACGAGGACTCCTCCTCGCTGTGGTTTTGCCTGGCCTGTGCTCACGTCGGGTGTGCTAAGTCTGTGGAGGAGACTTCGTCGGCAGTCCAGCTCCCTCTCGGACATGGTCATGCTATCGAGCACTTTAGGAGGAACAGGCATCCTTTCGTTCTCCAATGCGGGGATGCGAGTTCTATATGGTGCTTGGATTGTCAGGGAAGTATCGCGACGCAGGCTTCGATCATAGATGGTTTTCCTGGTCTCGGAGCCAGGGGAAAGCTTCTGCAGCAGGCAGTGAGGCTGATCCAGGAGAGTTCGATGAGTGAAAGTGATGGTGCTGGGAAAGGAAAGGAGGAGAACGAGAGCGTGAGTGCTACTCGTTCCGCTACTTCTACTTCAGTGGAGTGCTCGTCACCGAAGAATGGGATCGTCCGGGGTCTCGTCAACTTGGGGAATACGTGCTTCTTCAACTCGGTCATGCAAAACTTGCTCGCGGTGAGGTACTTGAAGGACTACTTTCTCAATCCTGTCGCTGGTGGTGCTTCCGAGGGACCTCTCACGTCTGCGCTGAGGAGGTTCTTCCTCGAGATCAATGGTGACAATCTGGAAGCGTTCTCGGGGAATGCCAAGAAGCGGCATCGCGACTATACTACGTATAATCCGAAGGGTTTGTTTGGAGCGCTGTGTTCGAAGTCTTCTCGGTTTTCTGGCTATCACCAACAGGATAGCCACGAGTTGCTGCGATGCCTTCTCGACGGTCTTCAGGTCGAGGGGAAACATAAAGAGTCGGAGGAGAAGAACTCAACCAACGGAAAAGAAGATCATACGTTCGTCGACCATCTCTTCGGCGGACAGTTTGCGAGCACGGTTACCTGCTGTGAGTGCGGCCATTCTTCGTCAGTTTTGGAACCTTTTCTTGACGTTTCTTTGCCAATCCCTTTGTCACACAGCTCCAAGGGAACAACAAGCACTTTCAAGGTAGCAAGCAAGGTGCAAACAAACAACGCATGCTCGAAGAGGGAGGCCAAAGCGAAGAAGGCACTTGAAAGGAAAAGGAAAGTATTGCAGCCGAAAGCTTCTTTCCAGATCAAGTGCGAGAAAAACATCGGTGAAAAGATCAGCGAGACGGCCGTTGAGAAACAAGCAGAAACAGGAAGTGTGATGGATGACCTTTCGTGGCTGGACTACGTAGGGGACGACTTCGTAGATGTCACTTCTCAACAGCAGTTTTCCGACCACGATGAGAATCGGCTAGAGGTTACGGTGGCCGAAGAAGGTGGCTCGGAACTCCGTGATGAAGGGAAGGCAGTGGCAGAAGTCGATGCAACTACATCAGGTCCTCTGGGAGGTGAAGGAAAGGAAGCAGACAATGCCGATAGCATTGTAGGTGAAGGTGTTACAACTATAGCAGCTCTACCCGGGAAAGAGGAAGAAGACCTTTCGAAAGTGGGGAAAGAGGAAGACGACCTTTCGAAAGTGGCCGATGTGACTATAACAGGTGTGGAAGATAGTGTAGATAATTCAGAGGGGCTCCCTTCTGCGGGCCCTCCTGCAGTGATTTTACTGCCATACTGGGAAGGTGACAATCAAGCATCATCGAACGTACAGGACGGCTGGGAGATGCTTGCGCCTAGCGAGGTTGATGGTATAGCAGATCTTTTTTTCGAGGAGGAGGCCAGCACTTCGGTCACTGTGTTAGGCTGCGCGGAGCGTCCTGGGACAAGCAGTACGAACGCCGCAAGTGTGGAGGAAACGGAAGAGATTGAAGACATCATCGAGAAGAGCATCACGGCAAAGTCTCTGGAGGGATGCCTCCAGGCTTTTACCAAGCTGGAAGTTCTCTCCGGTGAGAATGCGTGGGGCTGCGACAACTGCACACGGAGGTCCTGTGACTCGGCGGATTCAACGATTGTTGATGGGGATGAGGACGGTCCTACTTGTGACGCTGAAGCTCGAGGAACGGAACCGACGTCATCTCAAGCAGGTCCATGCAGCATGGAGGAGAAAGGCGAGGACGAAGACGGGAATGATACGTCTTGTGGCAAGCCAAAAACGAAACAGGCACACAAGGGAGGAAGCAGCAGCAGAAGCAGCAGCAGCACCAAAGTTTTGGTAAAGAGAAAGGCGACAAAGCGGCTAGTTATACGAAAGGCGCCTCCGGTGTTGACGGTTCACCTGAAGCGATTCGCCCAAGACATGCGTGGACGACTGAGCAAGCTCACGGGTCACGTAGCATTCGACGAGCTCCTCAACTTGAGCCCGTTTCTCAGCGCCTCCAGGTAAGCGCCTTTGTTTTTTCTTCCTCCCTTTTCGTTTTTCTATTCCATGGCTTTCTGGTTCTTTTGCTGGAATGTCGTGTGTAACTAATGATGCCTTTTGTCCGCTTGTTTTGCAGGGATGGCGGCTTATATCGCCTGGTTGGAGTCGTGGAGCACTCGGGCACCATGAAAGGCGGGCATTACGTCGCGTTTGTCCGTGGAGGAAGCGCCGGGGATGGCAAGGAGAATTTTTGGTACTATATCAGCGACTCGGACGTGCGAAGAACAACGCTGGATCAAGTTTTGAGAAGCGAGGCCTACCTCCTTTTCTACGAGAGAGTTTGACAGAGCCCGAGTAAGCTGGTTTCATTTTTCTCTTCTAAAATTCTTTCTGCGGATTCGCAAACCAAGTGTACAGTGGCAACAGACAAACAGCAGCATTCTCGCTGGTGGTCGATCGATTTCAACTATTTTCTTAGCTCGATGCGGGATCCAACTGGATAGTGTAAAGCAGATCTGCGTTTCCCGTGGAGGATCAGATTTCCGATGAGATTTCCGATGTGGAGATGGAAGCTGCCGTATCCGGAGACAAGCAAAAACAAAAGACAAAGGATTCTAGAAAGAGCGTTGGACGATCTCCCGACCATTTGAAAACGCACAGGCATATCTCTTGTCTGGCATCTTCTCGCGAGTGAAACATGGCTATGATCTTCGAATTACACGTTTTGCTTATAATGATCTCCACAAAAAAGGAAGTTTTACAACAAAAAAAAAAACCGAATAAAAAATGTATAGCAAACCTTTTTTAATTTACGCCACTAATTTTTCAGCTCTTGTGTTGGAAGAAATAACCTGGGAAATTTACCATGTTGATCCTGTCCGAGTAAATTACTTGGTTCTTGCAAGAACCTTGGACTCCATCCTCGATCGGGCTGGGGGTTTGGAAAATCCCCTGCGAATGCGGCCTCGAGTTGGGGAAATTCTTGAGATAGAACATTTGCTCGGGAGAGATTGTGGGCTTTTGATCCAGGATATGTTGTTGGTGGTGGCGGTGATCACTTGTTCTAGAGCTGTTGTTATAGAGGCTGAGAGTGGGAAGATCATTGTACCGAGTATCCAGGAGGCAATTATCCACTACAGGATCACTGGAGTTTAGAGCTGAGGAAGCGTTGTGGAATTTGAGCTGATCAATCAAAGGCGCTCCACTGTTTGCAGTGAAGCTCGTGGCGGATCCAATTCCTCTCGCTCCAAGGGATCCATTGGCTTGAGCCTGATCGCCTTGCTGCTCGTTCGAGAGCATGGCGGTGAAAGAGCCCAGCCTCGGCAAGCAAATCTTGGAATCGTCAATGTCGGGCAGGGACGCCAGGACCTCCTCCAGGCACGACTCATCGTCCGCGTCCATTTTCACGTTCTCGCGGCTTGGCGCTTCTTGTGAGGCCGCGGGGCTCTTCCAATCGCTCGATTGCTTCTTGTAGATCCGGCAGAGAACCCAGTCGTCCAGCTGACCAAAAGAAAGAGGAAGAAAAACCCATCAAAACCCATCCCGCGATTGCCGAAAAGAACTCTCCCTCGCGAGAGATTGATCCAAGAACACAGATCCATATAATATAACATAGAACGCTCAAGAACACACAAGGCTCTATCACTTACCCGGAGAGATCCCTTCTTGCGCAAGCTCAATCGATTGCTGGCGCCGCTGGCGTCGGCCAATCGATACTCGTGCATGATCCAGCTCGTCTTCAATCCCTTGGGCGCTCGTCCCCTGTAGAACACCAGCGCCTTCTTCACGCCCACTTTGCATCCATCGCTGGAGATGGGCTTGTCGGTGCCAGTGGCCTTCCAGTAGCCCGACCCGGCTGCGCGGTTGGGCCGAGCTCCATTCGGGTACTTTCGATCGCGGGGGCTGAAGAAGTACCACTCGCGCTCGCCAAACAAGGCCTTGTCCGGGAGATCCCACGGATCAAACTTGTAGAGATCCACCTCCGCGATGATTGGCACTGCGAATGGCCGCGACGCCGCCCGGCGCGCGAGGTAATGCACGACCAGCTCCTCGTCCGTGGGGTGGAATCGAAAGCCCGGCGGGAGCTGCAGTGAATTCACAGCCTTCTTCGAATTGTGCTCCATCCAATTCGCTCGATCCCTTCGCAAAGAAGGGAGAATCCTCTCTCTTTGCTCACTCTTTCTTCCTCGCTCGCTACTTACCACTCCTCTTTCTTTGGATGGAAATTTCGCGGGCTTCCAAAATGCTTCCTAGGGAGCCTAGCTCGCAATTTAAACACTCCAGCTCCCTGGATTAAAATTTTTATCCAAAGTTACCTTGCTTATTTTTTTTGGTGGCCATCGTTTTCCCCCCGCTGGGTCATTCGCATTGGCTCCATCCGATGAGTCAGCACATACAGCTGTTCGGCTAAAAGTAAAGGGAGAATGTACGTGAATATGCCACACTCGCCTGGCCTTTTTCTACAAGGTAACAGTAAAAACATGTGTCAGTCAAATGCATGCGCATGGCTCGCCGTACGCACAATCACCGCTCGCACGGTGTGGAAAATGTGCGGGGAATTATGCGGACCGGATCTTTTTTTGCTGGCGTCACTGAGGTGACGGCGGGGTGAGGTCATTTGGCGTGCCGACGACCAGCGGCCAAAATGGCAACACGCGTCCCAGATTGGCGGTGAGGCCTAGATAAAGTATTTTGGGAAAAAGCTTGGACATGCCATGTTAGCTTGAGCTTAATCAGTTTTAGCAATAGTTTGTGAATCAAAATAATTAAATATATTCCAATCTAAAGGCAGACTTTCTCTGTAAACTTTCTTTAATTCGTTAATTTACTTGTTTTGGTTTGTTATTGATATCCAATCTAAACTTTCATAAATTTTCTCTAATTCTAATGTAATCAGTATTTGATGTTAATTTGTCTACTTTTTAAAGGATGCATAAATAAATTGCTACACTTTGCATGTAGCAATACTTGGTTTTCTTAAAAGTAATTTTATTATTACTAATTAATCCAGTTGATCAAATAAAGTTTATAATTATAAGCATGTTTGTAATTTATAAACACAAGATTAATCTTATTGCATATCAACCATTAGATTATAGAATAAAAAATAATATACTAGAAAGGGTTTAAGAAAGTTTGTAAATTATAAACATGTTTATAAATTATAGATACAAGATTAATTTAAATGAATAACAACCATTAGATGGTAGAATATCCTAAAATATCCAAGTATATTCTAGATATATCCATTACCTGTTTAAGCAAACCAAAAAGACATCTAAAAACTAGAGATTATCAACTTGTATCTATTACAAGCAATTTATAATCTGAATTTTGGGGGGAGGTACACCTCCCAAGAGAGAGAGGTTTACTTGGGGTGGGTGGCCTAGCAAAAAATTTTGCACACTTGTAAAATATATGAAAAAAAAACTAAATTATTATAACATATACGTGTGACTTACAAAATAATGTTTTAACCACAACTTTTTTCTTATACATTTAGTGCCAACCACATATACATAACAAAGTCCATATTAACACCATATTAGGTATACAATTTTTTGTGTTACATCTCCACATCAAATTTTTTTTACACATCAGCAAGGTTTAAAGTTTGGGTTAAGGCTTGTTTTTTAGTGTACAAGCTAGATTTTAAGCACCTTTTGGATACTATGGACTGAGTTCATTATTGGGGCACTTCCTTAGTGAGGATAGTAAAAAGTACTTTGAGACCAATTGGGTTTGCAATGAATGAAGAAATTTCTGTATCCAATGCCAAAAACCACTACATTTAATGGCCCAAACACCTAAAGAAATGTTTTGCCTTCACACTCTAATTTATTAAACTCACCACCATACTTTATTCAATCACCCTCACTGCCACACTCCAATTGCATTTGCTACCATGCTCCAATCTATTATACTCACCATTGTGTTAGATTAAGGCGCCACACTGCAAATAAATTGTGAGAAATGGGAAGTGCAATTAATTAATTGAATCACGGTGCTTATATTAGGGGGCACTACACTGTGATAAATGAGCCACAACTGAGATAAATGAGTTACAACAGTGAAAAATAAAAAGAGAGAGATGATCACAATTTATGAGAATGAGAAAAAAAAAATACTAAAATTGCACTAATCTTATGTTTTCTAAGATGATGTGGCATAATGCTTATATAGCAATTTGAAGTATCATACCCCATGCATACATGGCATACCCCAAGATAATATCACATGTGTAAATATATAATGCTTTCATGTGCAATCACATATTTGTTGCCATATGTATCCAACAAACAAAAACTGTTGCTTCACCTATATATTTCAAAATGATAAGTAAATAATACATAAATAAATACATTATTTAATCAATTATTGTGGTAGATTAATTGAGGTAAAGACCAATACTTATGTATAGAATTAGATGGACTATACAAAAGCCCCATGAAGAACTGTAACTGGATACTGTAATCTGAAGGCTGCCCGTTTGAATTGAGCGACTTGGGGCTTAAGAACGGATGGGGATCCATAAAGGTGATGGCATACACAAAGACGGTGAGCAGCGAATCTGTTGGAGGCAGAAGGTTTTCAATAGAAGTGAACTAGCTTTCAACCAGCTGGATAGGAGCAGACTCGAGATGAAACGAACTGATTTCAGCCCTGATTCCATCATCAATGGCTTCCAGAATAGTATCCAAAGTATCCACAGGAGCTAAACCATTCATGGTTTCTATGCAAGCCATATTGACATGCTTGACCTCGTCAGAATAACAACCAATCTTTGGAATGAGCCCATCGTGGACCCGTGTTGTTGAAGACAATGTAAGACTGAAGACGTTTGCTATGCACAGCCTTTAGCCACTGCTTGACAGTCCTAATGGATATTCGCTGAACCAGCTCGCCAGACGTGAGCTTTACTATATTGCTCGATATCTTCCCCATGGCGTTCCTTTTGACTCCCTTCCAGTTTGAAGAGGAAGTTCCGATCCCGAGCAAACTCTGCCAACATTCTTCCAACCTGCTCCTTGTTCACCTGCCAGTCTTCCTTCTCAATCTGCCTGGAAAGCGGTGAAGGTCTGTCACGGTTCGTGTGGCTGGTTCCCCCAATTTATGACTACCTATCAAAGAGCTTAGCCTTGGCAAGCCGCACAGGGAGAAGCTAGCCAGCCTGTAAGCTCCCAATGGACTCCGTGCAATACACTCCTGCTTGGCTTCTCTCAATCTGGCCAGAAGATTGTAGACTGACATCCCACTGTACGCTGTTCAGAATATGTGACCACACAATCTCGTGTTCCATGAGCTCGGAAAAGATCTGTTACCAAAGCTGCACCAGTCTACCTGTGCCCTGTTCTTCGTACTCTGCTCACACATCTCGGCGTTGTAAAAGTCGTTTGCAGCATCTCTCTCATCTTTGAGTTTGTTGTTGGCAGCATCCACCATTGCCTCGTTGAGAGCTGTGAGCACCACCAGATATCCTAACTCCTTCAGTCTACAACTTATTGCTGCGAGGAGAGTGCTCTTGCCAGACTGGGAAGATGCCATTTTCCCGCTACCATCTCCTTTACCAAATCCTCCAAAGTCTAGCCAAGTGGGATGAGGCATGCCCCGAAAAGAAGGTCCTAGGGCACAACTTAGTCAATGGAGCCTGAAAGTCAAAGTCAATGCTATTGAGAAACTATTTTGACGGAAGATATGGATCGTGTTCTCCAGCACCCGAGGAACCCAATGATTCAAGTCATTGGGGAGCGATACCCAATAGGAGATTCCTTATTTCTAGCAAACTGGCCAAGCCCTTTCCTCCTTATCGAGGCAATGGTGGATGCTGAGCACTTCCTTCCCTGAAGAAACCACTTTATCTCCCATCACCTTGATTTAGGGCTGTACAAACAAAGGTTTGAACCTTTAAAGTTTTTCTGGAAAAATCAGCAAATATAAGAAATATTGATGCTCAAACATTTCAACCTAATCACTATGGTTTCCTTGTTTGTTGCGTCCCCTACTGGCTTCACACATCCTGGAAAACCTGCTATACGCTTTCGAACACGGGCAGTGGAAGTGGAAAGAATTGCCGCTACAGTAACAGAGGACCCCCAACTTACATGGCAAATTGGCGTGGGGGCGATTGGTACCATTTTGCTTTGCCCCGTTGCTTCTGCTCAGTTTGGATTGTCCTGCAGCTGGGGTGACTCCATTTGTTGTGGCTGGGATCGAATTCAGCAAGAGGATTGTGAGTGATTTCTAGACAAATATTTCATTGTGGGTTTCTGGAATTTCAGGCAGCTCAAAGGAGATGTAAAGTTTGTAAAGGCTCTGGGCTTGTCCGGCGAGAGCAGTATTACTTTAGATGCAACTCTTGCGGTCAGTGCTTGAGTTCCAATGGGTTGATTCTTTCTTATTTTTTTCATTTTATCCCCTTTTAGGAGGTTTTTTACCTTGGCAATCCTGGAAACGATTCTTTTCTGGGTAAGACATAGATAGAAGAACTTCCTCAAAACTTTCTTCATAGTTTTTCACGAGAAACATTGTTTCGATCACTCCTAAACAAAACTTTCGCGTTTTCTCTGTTTTTTTTTTTTCTTCTTTTTCTCCTCAGCTAGAATCAGCTAGAATGTTGTTGATATGGGTCTCGGAGAGAGTTCTCGACCACAAGCCAGAGCCAATGTGTCCAACAGACATTGGACACAGCCAATACTTTGTCTTTGGTCCCAAAACCTGGGAACGAATAAAAGATAGAACGACGAAAAAAAGAGAGAAAAGAACGCAGGCACGAAACATGAAGCTTACATTGATTAGATTCGCAAGAAGCCCCAGATCATACGGATGCCTGTAGATTTGGCCAGCCTTCACTGCGATCCAGCCTTCCCTCTTCCCTTGATGAAACTAAATGACGAGAGAAAAACTTGCAAAACGCTGGAATGCATGAGTAAGAATGAAGCGAACCTCGATCGTAGTCTTGTTTTGAACGAGGAGATATGCATACCAAGCTTGCATTGATCCAAAGATCAAAACTCCCACCACCAGGCAAACGCCGTACATGACCTGCGAGAAGAAACGCACGAGACGAGTGAACTTTGCTTCCATCGCGTCACGAATGTGTGTGTACCTTCCAGAACTGATACGTCGACGAATTGTTTAGAGTTGATCCTCCAAAGATGGCCAGAGAGTATGAGCACCCCAAGAAGAGGTAGAAGACGAGGAGGAGAAACGCTTTGTAGTTTCGGTGGCCAACGCAGTTATTCAGCCAAGAACAGTGATGATCCTGTCGAAGAACAGCGCATTCTTAACGCCAAAGTCGAAAAGGTCGAGAAGAAAAGAGCTCAAAAGTACCATTCGCAGAATGCAACGCTTGCAAATCCGGCAGTGATGAGCTCGAGCCGGTTTGTAGAGGCCACATTTCTCGCAAAACCTTCTCTCTTTTCCCTGGAAGAAGAAGAACAAAGAGAAAGTTCAAGAAAACAATCCGAGTGAAAAAATCTCTAACCTTCGAGACAGTGCTCTGATCGGTCTCTAGATCGGGAGAGTAATTCGCTGGCACCTGTCCGGGATCACGAAGAACAGCCAGCCCGTGAGAGATGAGGATCATCACGTTGAGCAGCGTGAAGAGCAGTGCATGTAGCAAAGCTGGCACGCCGATCCAAGGCTGGAGCGCCAAGACCACGACGATGTAATAATTCGAGAGCAGCAGGACGAGGAATGCCAGGATCGGGAGCGTCAAGCATCTCGAGAGGCCCATCGGCGCACTACATCATCGGCCGCCGGCAGGCGCCCGGGATCACGGCGACCTGCGCAAGCGCGATGGACCGATTGTAAGCTGCGGCAAGGAGGAGGAAATCTATCTCTCGATTCTTACATTCTCGTGTCGGTGGATCCGTCGTCGAGGAGGAAGAATAAGAACCCTAATTTCTTAATCTCTATAAAACCTAGCTAAGAAGATCATCCAAATGGAAAGCATTTTCGCGCGCGAAGGTATTTCTTTTGGATTTGAGCTGCTAGTTTTAGGGTTTATGGATTCTAAGCGACGATCAAGAGGCTTCCGGAGGCGGGGGATGCGTCACCGAGGCAATTTGTGCTCGTTTCTTCGTTTTCGCGATCTTTCTAAGCAGCGAGTCCGGATCGACATGGCCTGTTACTACAACACGCTGCTTCTCCATGTCTGTGTCTACCTTTTCAACTCCTGGAGTGGAAGAAACGATCAAGGCTCTTGCTTACAAATCCAGATTGGAGAATTCTCTTACCTCGCAATTCGCATAGCGCTGCTAGAACTCTTCGTTGGCATCCGGGACAATGCAAAGCCACCTTGAGCTCGATGATCTGACAAGCAAAATGAGAATATCTTTCTCTGAATTTGAGCTCGATCGTAGGATCAGAGATGTGTTCTTTAGCGTACCGAAGGCATTGGATTGTCCGGCTGTGGTGGCGGTGGCGGAGGATCAGAGGGCCAGACCTGGACGAGCTTCTTAAACTTTGCAACTTTCTTGAGCAGGTTTTCTTGCTCATAGTGCCCCGTGACGGTCATCTTTTGCTCCTCGAGATCCACCACGATGTTCTTCACTCCTGGAAGGAAACATCATCAAATTCAAGCTCTTACAATCTCTCGATGACGAGCCCCACCTGGAACTTTGCACAGCTCGTTTGTTATCTTGTATCGCCCGCGATTGGACTTGGTGAGGATCTTGAGCGTCATCGTCTAAACGAGCAAAGCAAGAGAGAGACCATGTCTGGTGTGTTCTCGCTCGGTATAACTTTACCTTCAACTCCGCCATTTCAATGCTTGTCAATGCTTCTAATGTCGCAAACTTTGCCAAAAGATGGAGCTCTTTTATGGATGTCGTGGTTCGAGCATGGGATTTAATCATTGTTGGTTTGCAAGCAAAGATTGGATCTCGCCATGGTTTTAAAGCGAAGGTTAGCATCACCACTGTAGCGGTAAGAATGTGAAAGGTAAAGTGGTTTTGCTACCGGTGTCTGGTCCTATGGTCTAGTGGTTAGGACACTGGACTCTGAATCCAGTAGCCCGAGTTCAAGTCTCGGTAGGACCTTTTCTCTTTTTCTCTTTCCCTCCAGTTTTTTTATTTGCTTTTCATTGCTACTTAGTTTGCCCTAAGCTATGGAGGCCAGGGAGCTCCTGGAATGCGCGGCTACGTTTGGAATCAGCGATTCCTCCCAAGGATCTTCGCAGTTTGGGGATACGCTGGAGATTGCCGTGTTCCCGGATCAAGGCGGGTAAGTTTTTAGATGGGAAATTTATGGTGATCGAATTGTATTGTATGTAGGAGAGGTCTGGGTGTGGCTCGGAATGTGGAGCAGGGTGAGATGATTCTCAGAGTTCCATTTGCTGCTTTGATTGGCGTCCATTGCGCGAGGGAAGATCCCGAGTTTGGAAAAGTGCTGGTGGATTTCGCGCATTTGTCTTCTGTGCAGGTAAAGTTCTTTGTTTTCCATTAGAACTTGATAGATTTGTGCGTAGAAGAAGATTCTTTCCAGCATTTTCTCCAGCATTATCTCGTTTTCTTGTTTGAAGATCTTGACGGCGTATCTCTTGAGCGAAGTTGCCAAGTCTTGCTCCTCTCGGTGGTTTTCATATCTTCGCCATAATCCTCAAGTTCATCACAGTCTACCTCATTTTTCCGCAATGGAAGCTGAAGAACTACAGGTCTTTTTCTTTCACTTGTCATCTTGTTTTTAACTAACATTGTCATAGGTGGAGGATGCGATCTCGATGGCAAAATCGTCTCTCGAAGACACTCAGAGACAGTGGAGGGAGACGTCCTCATTGCTTTCACGTCTTCGCCTCCCACGTAAGTTTACTACTTTCAAGGCCTGGCTTTGGGCCGCTGCTACCGTGAGTTGCCTTCAGATTTTCACAAATGATCTCTTATCTAGTTTGTTCTTGCGATTCAGATATCATCCAGAACGCTACACGTCCCATGGGATGACGCAGGCGTGCTATGTCCCATCGGCGACCTCTTCAACTACGACGCACCGATAGAAAGAACTATGTCTTCGAGAAATGAGGACGACGAGCTCGAGTTTACGAACAGGCTCACTGATGGTGGCTATGAAACTTCCATCAGTTCCTACTGTTTCTATGCGCGGAGGAGCTACAAAAAGGGCCAGCAGGTCTGTTTCTCTTTGGACTCTTGTCAAGAGGCTCATTTGGCGTTTCCAGGCTCTCATTTGCTACGGGCAATACACGAACTTGGAGCTTCTCGAACACTACGGGTTTTTGCTACCGGATAATCCTTGTGACGTGATTTACATTCCACTGCCAAGCCCGGAGGAATTCGGGCTTAAAAGTACCGGAGACAAAAGCGAAAGACAACACAACCTCGCAGCTTATTGTATAGAGGCAAGCGGGAAGCCTTCGTTTTCGTTGCTACAGCAACTAAGACTTCGTGCCGTTCCAGCTTCTCTACGAAAGTCACACGGCTACATGGCGTCTCAAGGCTTGCCAATTTCCAGAGAGAGCGACCAGCTTGTTTTCCTCTGGCTGCAAAAGAAGTGCCAAAAGCTTCTGGAGAAACTTCCAACGACGATAGAGCAAGACGAGAGAGCTCTGGAACAGCTGGAAAAGAGTACAAGCTCTGGTTCATGCGGAGTCGAGAGGCACAAGCTCGCCATCAAGTGGAGGCTGGGATACAAAACCATCCTGCAACGTTGTCTCACTTACAGCAAAGGCGAATCACTCGGCTTCGAGTAACCACCGATACTTTGCAAGAGTTTCTTCTTCCAGCGGCTCCAGGAACTCGCTCTTGCCAAGGATGTCTTTCGGCGGCAATCCAGAGACGAGATTTGTATCCAGCCGGGGACCAGCAGGCTCTGAAGATCCGTTGTCAGCGACGTCTGCGAATCTCAATGGCGAAGCTCCACAAAACGCTTCCTGGTGGAAGGCCAAACTTCGCGCTGGCTGGAGGCAAAACTCTAGCCATTGAGAAACCAGTGGAGAGGGTCCTCTTATGCGTCCACCGGCTTTATCACTTTTGATTTTAATCGCAGCAGGGATTGCCTGCACGTAGAGAGGACAGTGTCACGAATGAATCATCACTGGAAGAATATCAAAACTTACCCATACATCGGCCCAAAGACTAGTCCCGGACGCAGGAGCTATAACACCAACGTTGGATTGCCGCTTAGCAAATGGTAGAACGTCGTTCGACCATCCCACCGCGATCCAGACATCTCCCGCTCCTAAAGCTCTCAAATAGTTGATGTTATCGAACACTCTCACCTGCGGAGAAGTGCACAGTGAGAAGCACAATCAAGCGGGCTGGTCACTTGCCTGTTTTCTTAATCTCAAAAATCTCTCCTTGACAGCTTCTTGTCCACCGTGAACTTCAGCATCGAGATTTCTTGCATTGTAAGACGCTCCGAGGGACTTTAGCACCAGACCGACGACCTCTCGAGTGGATTCTATCATGGAAATTCTTCCGGCAAGCTCTGGCTTCCAAAGATCGTCCCAGTCCTGAGGAAAACAGAAAGTTTTACAGGAAAAAGTTTTACGCAACTGTTTGTACCTTGATATCTTGTAGACCAGCTTTTGCAAGTTTGTCTTTCCTATAAGCTATCACCATGCAACCACACCGATATGGCGCACCCCAAACTTGTCCAGTTTCGTCTGGACGCCCTTGTGCATCCCGTCTAAGGATGGCCTGTAAAAATCAAAGTTTTGTAATGTAGTGAAAGACTCTGAAAAAAAGAAGAAAAAGTACCTGCCATTTCGGGTCAAGATGCTGAAACCACTCGAGCTCCTGGGGTTTCCCAACAGAAGCGATCAGCTTGTTTCTTATGGCGACACCAAGCCACGAATCTCCGAGCGTGACAACGTCAGCCGCCATGGTCGACTTACTCGTAAGTTGTCCACTGTTTTTAGCAGACACAAGCTGGGTGTAAATTGTGTCGAGAGATCCAAGAAACTCTGCACCGAGTTTCATTTGTTTCCCTTGAGACACCATAAAATCCTGCCACCAAAAGGTTCTCTCAAATACGTGCATGAAAGACACAAAAGCGATACCTTGATCCAAACAGGAGGAACCGATCCTCGAAGGCCGACTATCCTCAGTGGAAAGCTTATAGAATATGGAACCGTCTTCCACTGCTCGTAAGCACGTCGCATCTCTTCACTCATATTCTCAGCTCCATCTTCCTAGACATTGAAGACCACTGGTTTTAGAAGCGAGAGAAGTAATAATCGAAAACATCTAGGACTATGAGATACCTGAAGCTCGAACATCTAGTACATTCTTGTTTTCGTGCTCGAGCTCCTGACTTTCAGCAGCCGCAAAAGAAATCCTGGTAGAAGTTTGCAGCTCTCCAGAAATCCGAGCAAAACAAGCATGGCCTCGATGTTCGCCAGCCAAAGAAGCAGCGAGACCAGCGCTCAAGAGGGACATAGCACACAAGAGTTTACCACATTCTCCCTTGATAGCAGCGAGAAGCTGCTCTTTCTTCTTGCTGCCAGAGCCATCGACACTCTCCAAGCTACAAGCGCGCGGACGAAATGTCGCTCGCGGACTTAGCACAATGCCTCCGCATCGAAGAAAAGGAAAGGCGACGGCAGTGGCGCCCTCCATTCTCTTCTACAATACCCAAGTAGGGCATACCCAGGAACGAAGAACCCTAAAAATCAATCGCCATGCTTTCTTCCCCCGGTGAGTGCCAATCCTTCTCGACCCAATTCCTGCTCTCACAATCGATCCAATGCAGCGGCAAAGAAGCCTGACGAGCAGCCGGCGCCACCGGCGAGCAAGTACGATCTCCCTCTCGGCACGCAATTCGAATACATTCCCACCAAGAAGATCGAGCTCAACAGGATTCGAGCGAAATACGGCGCCGCGGAGCTCCAGAGGATGCTCGACTCGGTGGAAGCCAAGCCGCCGCCGCCGCGAATCGCCGAGTTCCTGGCAATCAAGGGCTTCCTGGACGTGGATTTAGCAGACCCGGATCTAGCGCCCCTGCTCGAGTAGCACCAAGAACCCTAAATCGCAGAGTACTTTACCTAACAAAAGTATTTACCTTTATTAAGAGTCTTAGGGCTTCCTAATTCTTACCGCCAAAAGTTACCGTGGTAATGTCGGTGTTACGTGGTAAATGAATAAAATACGTAAAGGTGAAAATCCTGCTGCCCTGCTGGGCAGCCAAAAAGATTCTGCCCGCTGCGCTGCCCTGCTGCCGTGTCGTGGGCTCGATTTTAATCCCCTTCCAAAATATTTCTTTTCTCCATTTTTTAATGTATCCCAAAAAGATAACTAGCCACCAAAAAAAAGGACTGGTTAGTTTTTTTGCCAAGTACTTTGTTGGGACGTCGACGTCACCAATGTGATGTGGTCATGGGCTACAACAATTTCCCACGACCCATTGGCCGCGTGCGCCCGACGCGTGGCGGGATCTCAGCGGATCCGCGACGTGGCCAGTATCTTTGTCTAGGGGCCGTCGGATGCGCGGGAGCGACGGCTGGGATTCGCGAGCCCCGACTTTTGTTTTTCTTCGTCTCTCTCTTCGCGCGGCTGAACTGGTCGCCCTTGCAGCGCTTTGGTAATTCGTACGGGTCCTTGCGGCCGAGAAAGAATGGCCCATCCCATGCAACACACATTAAAGGTGGTTTGTTGGTTCGTAGCTTCGTTCGTTCGTCTCATTGTTGCCTTCTTTCTGGTGGGATAGCGCTTTTTCTCCTTGAAGAGCTCTCGTTGCTTCCAAATCTACTGTCGAGAGAGATGTGTGAGCTCCAAACCTTCTCCTCTTTTCTAGTTGATGAAATCTAGAGTGTTTGATTGCTGGTTACCTTTGAGCGAGTCTCCACTGCTAACACCATAGTCCCAGTCGAAAAGAGCGTTCTGTAATGCAGAGAGAGCTCCACGGAAGAAGCTGTGCTGGTCCTGCGGCTGCCAAGAGTGTTAGTAGTACTAGAGCCGCTCACAAACGCATCAAGGCCCCTGATGGCTTGCTGGATTGGATAACGGAGAAGAGGGGTCGTTGATCCAGGCTTCAGCTGGCGGACAAGGAATGCTCCGCCGGCACACCCAGCGCTGGAAGTGGCGATGGCGATGACTCCTCCACCGGAGCGGGCGATCAGGATATTTCTTCGTCGTTTCACAAAGGTGGACGAGCTCGAGGACGCGGAGGCTCTTCGTCCAGGTCCAAGCCCTCGGACAGGCATCCAGTTTACATCGGTGTACGCCGACGCAGCTGGGGGAAGTGGGTGTCCGAGATCCGGGAGCCGAAGAAGAAGAACCGGATATGGCTCGGTTCCTTTCCAACACCGGAGATGGCTGCTCGGGCTCACGATGTTGCTGCTCTCTGCCTTCGAGGAGAGGACGCTCACTTGAATTTTCCGGATTCAGTCCACACTTTGCCTCGTCCTGAGCGTTTGTCGCCGAAATGTATCCAGGAAGCAGCTACATCAGCAGCAATGTCTTTCCAGGATAGACTTCTTCCATACACTGCTCCACAGCAGCAGCAGCAGCAGCAGGAACAGCAGGAGAAACCGGACCAAACTGAGCGGCACGAAGAGCAGCAACAGCACCAGCAGCAAAACTCCCAGCAGCCGGCTAAAGTCGTCAAGTTGGAAGTTTCTTCTTCTCCAGGTTCTCGCAGTAAACTCTCCTCTGATCATCACCGTCACTCATCTCAAATGCAAACGGCGGCTTCTGATGCTACTGCAGCTGCTGCGGGGGCTTCTCCTCAGACATTTGAGTACGTTGACGAGGATTTCATCTTCAACATGCCCACCATTCTATCCAGTATGGCTGAAGCACTGGCCGTTCCACTGCCACCACCACCGCAAGATGATCGCGACGACAACGAAGAAAATGCTGAGGACGGCACCATCTGGGATCCATCTACTTGGGATCGCTACTCTTGATTCTGATTCTTTCTTTCTTCCTGGAATCCTCAAGCTGTTTGTTGCAAAACCTGTATTAACGCTTTGCTTGTATGTCTTAAACAGCGAGCTTTCCATCTGTTAAGACGATTTGGTACTGCTGTTACTGGCCCTGCTGCAGTGCTGCAAGTGGCAAACAAGATAAATCATCCAGCTTTTCTTTTTGGAAGTTGATCTTACTTGTTTTATATGCCGCCTTCAAGGATTTGGAGATCAAGCGCAAAAGTAAATTAAGTGTGCTAGTCGTCAATGATCGCGACATTCCAAGTTTCTTCCTCTCTAAACCCGTTCACAATCCTTGGCATTCCACACCTTCAGTTTTCCAAACATCATCTAACAAATATAAATAAAATGAAAAGCATTACCTTGGTTATGATCTTCTGACAAAGACCGACGCCGTTTGGTCGTCCAAAAAACAACAATGGCTAGGCATGCAAGATGCATTGCACTAGGCACACCTTGGATTTGCTTAATAACATCTCGCGTCATCGTTTTAAGTACCAATGTTCCTGCTAACTCTAACACGACGAGTCAGTCCACATCCATTAGTACTTGTGAGCCAAATCAAATCTCCATAGACTTCCATGCTTACTGGAGATAGCAGGCGAGCCGAGGCGAGACGAGACAACTCGCGAGGTGTTCTTCGTTGACAGAGACAACCACAGGCGCTTTGATTTTCTTCCGCATCTGTTTTGTTGATGAGTCCTCCTGATAAGCTTTCTCTCCACTAGCCACGGCCGGATATCTCCTGAGGCAGCGAATGAAACTGCCTAGCTAACAGGAGTTGACGGCATTGGCTGCCCCTTGCTGCAATCCTGGCACTCGCTACTTTTTTCTCTCCTGCTTTTTCTTTTCCTCAGCTCCCAGGTCTGGACATCTGCACAGCCAGACCAGTCATCGACTTCCCATATAGCACGGATAAAAGAGTAATCCAATTCTGGAAGCTCGGTTCCCGGAGCATCCCAGCACCAAAGAGATACCAAACATCAGGCATGAGCGAACTACCACACACGCATTCATCAGCTTTGCCAAAGATAATTTCCAGCACCCGTTCCGTACACGGAAAGCAAAGCCCTTGCGAGCAGCATGAGCCAATCAATACCCTGAACTTACAGCTTGCAAGAAGAAAGGCATAGAAAATCAGATCTGCTGTCATTGACAACAAAAGCTATGTACCTCCGCACTGTGAAGGCACGTTAATGCAACTGAAGCAAGAAAGGGGCCTTTAACTCGGTAGGTTTCATGCTACAAATCCAAAGACAAATCAAGAGAAGCACACATGCTTAAACAAACACAGCCATCCATAGAAGCAGCCACTTCAGGGAACAGCGAAAATTAGAAAACAAAGGATAAGTCGGTGCGCAGCCTTAAAGAATTTGGACTCGACGATTCAAGCACTAGGAGATCCAACGAAGAATTCAAATGCATCCCCCCCGAAAATGATTAAAAAGAAAAGATCTGTACCTCCACAAACAACTAGGCATTGGCCACCTTGTCCATCTCAGTCACACTCTGCGCTGCCAGAGTGTTGTGAAGCTTAACAAACTGACTGAATGATAGTTGATGAGGCCTTGCCTGGAAGAATCCAGCGAATGAGCTAGGAGCAAAGGAAAAATGATAAAACATCTTACAGTCTCAATGACGCCGATGGAACAAAGAGCATTTTCAACCTCGGAACTACTGTAGAGATGCCGCAGGGATGTTCGCAGCATTTTTCGTTTCCCGGTGAAGGCTGAATTCACCTGAAATTTACAACCATCTAGTTATATTTCCATGGATACTTGCGAGATCAACTAACCAGAGTAAAGAACCTCTTGACAGATTTGACTTCAGGGTATTGAGAACTATCTTTCAAGGAAAAGGACACAACCGCACCGTTAACCTGCTAGAAGACACACGCATTAAAATATGCGCACGGCGCGTACGCTTGATAACACTTACAGGGGGAGGAGGAAAAAAGTTCAAGCGATCCACTTTGAATTTGTACTCCATCTCTGCAAACAAGTAAAGGTTTTGAAGGAAGCATAAAAAACAAAAGGCTCACCTGAGAAAAATCGAATGAATATGCTGATGGGCCGATATTCATCTCCTTTTGGAGAATCGTCAATAAACCTTGCAGCAGCCTCATCCTACAGGATCGCTCGCTTTAGTGCTCTGGAAAGACATACATAAGCTCCCACCATACTTGTAAAAGCAGCACTACGTTAGAAAACAAGTCTCCCATAGGTAGCAGCTTTTTCACAACATCCGTTGTGATGTTAAAAGGCAGATTGGAGACAACCTGAAACAAAGATGTATTCAGGGAACAAAAAGAAAGAGAAGTCAAAGAAATGGAATAAAAGAAAGACACACCCCACCTTAACAAGTTTAGATGGACTTTTGATGGTTTCCATCCAGTTGCTTAGATGTAATCTTATATGCCACTTCAAAATATCGTCCTGGAACAACTGAAAGGAGAGAAAAATGAGAGAGAAAAGAAAGAGACTACCTTCACTCTAGGATTATCTTTGAAGCGTTCGGAAACCAAAGAGACCATGTCTGGATCCTACACAAGATAGATAAACTGATAGAAGGAAGAAAGATTTCGCGAACCTTTTCTACAGCTATAACGTAAGCTCCGGCACACAAGAGGGAATCCGTAAGAGCTCCAGTGCCCGGCCCAATTTCCAGCACCAAATCACCCGGTTGGATCTCGGCAGCTCTCACGATTTCGTCATTGATATTCGAATTTACCATGTAATTCTGGGCGGGCGACAAGCAAATCCATCATCGACTCAAACTCAAGAAGAAGAAGAAGAAATGCTACCTGTCCAAGCCATCGCTTCGGCCTCCTATTCTTCGATTTGAGCGCCTCAAGAGTTCGCCGATAATTCTCGCTGCTATTGGAGGAGGAAGAGGAAGAAGAACTCGTCGCTCCACAGGAAATGCTGCATTTCGCGCCGCGGCAAGGCACAAGCTCGTCACATTTCGACGCAAAACTCGCGATGGCGATGGCGCCATGCGATCGAATCATCGCATTTGCCCAATAAACCCTAAAACCCTCTCAAGAACCCTAAAAATCTGAGAGATGATGCTAAATCTCGCTTGCTCCTTCCGATTCAAGAGCGTCACAGCAACGGCGGCATTCTCCACGGACTCGCCAGCCCATGTCCCGTGCGTTCTCACGATTGCTGGCTCGGACTCCGGGGCTGGAGCGGGAATTCAAGCCGATATCAAGGCCTGCGCTGCTCGTGGCGTCTATTGCTGCTCCGCGATCACGTCTGTCACCGCGCAGAACACGATCGGCGTCCAGGTTTGCTCCTTCGCTGGATTGGATCTCTCCTTTAGCTCAAGGATTTTTCATTAGTCCAGGGAATAAGTACTCTACCAGCGGCATTTGTGGAGCAGCAAATAAACTCGGTGCTCGATGATATTCACGTTGATGTGGTAAGTTCTTTCCTCCTTTTGTCTCGTGCTTCACGAATCTTTCCAGGTGAAAACGGGAATGCTGGCTTCTCCCGAGATCATCCAGAGTGTGTGCTCTAGGATCAAACACTACTCGATTGGATGTATGTTCTTGTTTAGTTTCCTCCAAAGCGCTCACGAACTTTGCGAAAGTTTTGCAGCTTTGGTGGTGGATCCTGTCATGGTGTCAACGAGTGGGCATGAGCTTTCAGGTCCTAGCATTTTGGATCGATTGAGGTATGGATTTTCCAGCTCGTCTTTCGCGATTTTCATACGTCTTTTTTGTGTTTGTTTCCCTCGCAGGAAAGCTCTGCTTCCTTTGGCGACTATCGTCACACCAAATATGTCGGAAGCCTCGGTTCTAGCTGATGGTAAACCTGTGAATACTGTGCTTGACATGAGAGAAGTTGCGGCAGAGATTCACCGAATGGGACCAAGGTGAGAGCAAAAATATTTTATTACTGGATTTGAGGGTGGTTTCTTTCGACAGGTATGTTCTTGTCAAAGGGGGACATCTGAAGAACTCGCACGATCTTGTGGACGTTCTTTACGATGGTAAATCTTACATTGGTTGTTCTGTGACTTTTCTTTCTTTCTTTTAATCGACAGGTTCTGGATGGCACGAGTTGCGGGGAAGTCGCATAAAAACACGGAGTACTCATGGAACTGGATGCACATTGGCTGCCTCAATAGCGGCTGAGCTCGCTAAAGGTTTAGACGTTCTTCCGGCTGTCATGGTAAACACTTGCGTCAATGATCAATTCTTTTCATTATCACTGATCTAACGTTGTCGTGTCAGGCTGCGAAGGAGTACGTTGCAAAAGCTCTCGAGCATAGCAGCAGCATAAAAATTGGTGGGGGAGCTCAGGGCCCAATGAATCATTTTTTTCAGCTTGCTGACTGGGGAAAGCTCTCCTCTCGCCAATGTCGCTTCGACCCCAGGAAGCTCTTCCTATATGCAGTTACAGATTCTGGTATGAACAAACGCTGGGACAGATCGACACCTGCAGCAGTCGAACAAGCTATACAAGGTGGTGCTACCATAATCCAGATCAGGTACTTGTACTCATTTTGATTTTCATATTTGTCGTGACGATTCTTTCCAGAGAGAAAGAGGCTGAAACGTTGGAATTCATCGAAGTATGTATACTATACTCTTTGCGCGCACTTCTGTGTCTTTGTTTTTAAAGTTTTGTGATCAGATTGCCGAGGCTTCTCTTGCTATTGGTCGAAAATATGGCGTGCCTGTACTGATCAACGACCGTGTGGACGTGGCTGTCGCGTGCAATGCAGACGGTGTTCATCTCGGACAGACAGACATGCCAGTCCGACTTGCACGCTCAATTCTTGGTCCCGGCAAGATCATCGGCACGTCCTGCAAGACAGTCGAACAAGCAGTAAAAGCTTACGAAGATGGTGCTGATTACATTGGCTGCGGAGGAGTCTATCCAACGACCACGAAGAAGAAAAACAAAACTATAGGCTTGGACGGCTTGCGTCTTCTCTGCGAAGCAAGCCCACTTCCGGTGGTGGCCATTGGTGGTATATCAGCGGCAAACGTGGAAGAAGTCATGAACTCACGTCCGGCGATGCTACATGGCGTGGCCGTCGTCTCAACGCTGTTTGATCAGTCGGATGTTGGCCAGGCTACGCGTGATCTCCGTGCCAGCATGACAGCAGCACTCTCAGAGTCCACAGCAGGAAAAGTCTTCTCTTAGACAGGCCGTCAGCGACACGCATTAAGATGGAGATAGCGAAGATATGGAACAGGAGGGTGACTGCACGAAAAGATCTCTAGATCGGGCAAGTATCTGTGCTCGCGGCACTCTAGAGAGATTAAGTTGGTGGAGGTACCCCGTGCTCGCCTACAATAATCATCTAGATATTCACGGGATAGTGGGGGATCGACCAAGTCTTTCGAGTTTTAAGTACTCCATGGGGAACAGGGGAGGGACAGCTTAAAGAATGCGGAGAATTTGGTGATTGTTGCTGCATCATGCAACTTGGGCAGGATTTTAGCGCTATAGAAAACTCATGCCGGGGGAGACAACGAGACAAGAGTTTTGAATTCCCGAGAGCAAGCTACAGGGAGGGAGCTAGAAACATAGGAGATCTGGAGGTGTTGGTGGTGGTATTTTTGCGTGGTCAGCATGCCAAGAATCCCGGAAAGATGGTAGCAGTATCGTAACCATAAAATCGAGGTAGTTTTTTACGGGGCAGAGAAAACAGGTGGCCATCTCCTCAAGGCAGAAAAGAGAGATTTTAAGGCAGATTCAGGAAGTCCAAGGAAAGAGATCAAGAAACCGAGAAAAAGTCTCGTGGAAAAAGTCGGAGAACAGGGGATTGGAAGACTGGGATGGAAGAAGAGCAGTGGTACTGGAAGGCGCTCTGGCTGAACATCATCTTAGCTTTCTCCACCGCTGCGTCGCTGACGAGAATCACAGCACCATACGGTCGCCACACTCAAGCAGGAGCGTCTTCTTCCTTGGACGTCTGGGGGCCGAGCATGCCAGCCCGAGATGGATGGGTTCTCATGGAAAGCCCGGCTCTCTGGTTCACTCTCCTCGTCTTCTCGGCCGGGAAGCACGCCAGCGAAACCGTCCCGCTCGTCCTCCTCCGACTTTTCCAGCTCCACTACACGCACAGGGCTCTCATCTATCCGTTTCGCATGCGCTCAAGGGGCAAGACGATCTCCATCGCCATCGTCGCTCTCTCCTTCGTCTTCAACATCTACAACGGATATCTCCAGGCGCGGTGGCTGTCCGAGTTTGGAATTTATCCCGACACTTGGCTCCGGAGTCCGCAGTTCGTCTCTGGAAGCTTGCTCTTTGCGGCCGGGATGGTGACCAACGTCTGGGCCGACTCGGTTCTTATTTCCTTGCGCAAGCCCGGCGAGGAGCGAGGGGGATATAAGTTGCCACAGGGGTGGCTCTTCTCGCTCGTTGCATGCCCGAATTACTCCGGAGAGATCCTCGAGTGGCTCGGCTGGGCTCTTCTCACTTGGTCCCCCGCCGGCCTCGTCTTCTTCATCTTCACAGCCGCGAATCTCATCCCGCGAGCTGTGGCTCACCGCCGCTGGTATGTTTCAAAGTTTCCGGAGTTTCCAGCCTCTCGGCGAGCAGTGATCCCGTTCGTTCTCTAACAAACAAGAATTCGATTCTCCGCAACCACAGGCAGGACAAACAGGGATGGAGATAGAGATGACAACGAAGAATCAAACAAAGTTTGAAGAATCGATCGAAGGCTTTACTAGTTATCGCTCACTGCTGTTGATTCAAAGTCATGGTCGCGACTTTAATGGCGATGGAGACTTTGCGATGAACATGGGACTTTAAATGGATCAACTGTCTTGATCAGGGAAGCATTTATGATATAACTTTGGTACTTCTCTCTTTCTTCCTCACTCCCTCCAAGCTTTTGTTTTCTTTGTGTTTGTCGTTCGTTCCTCTCGAAAGATTTGTATTGTACATTGGTCTGGTTGGAGGAAGGAAAAGTTTTGGTTTCTCTCACTCTCTCGCTCTTTATTGTTCTCTCAAAGCATCCCTTTCTTCTGCTCGTAATTCTGGAGTGTGGCTTTGTTTCATAGCGACGAATACTGGATTTGGGAGCTAGTGATTTGTCGAGGAGTGTGCTCGCTGTACTCGAGGATGGCTGACGGGGCCAGAGCTCCAGTTGCTATGAGATGGACTGTGGAGAACAGTGGGAACGATTCTTCCCACTTTCGAGCTCGCAAAACTTCATAAACTTCTCTCGCGGTTGAAACTCCCTGGAAGCGAAGAAAAGGATGACAATTCTACGAGCTTCAAGCTTTCGTTGAGTTGTTTTTACCTGGAGTTTCTGACCCTGGAGAAGCTCGGTTTCCAAGTCGTCGAAGGAGCTGAAATGTCAAGGTAAGCTTCTTCTATTCTTTTCTTTTTTCTCTGCTTATGGAAAAACGTACCGCTTTCCTTTGTTCCTGGCGAATGCATCGGCCACTCTTCTGTTGCGACCTCCAACTGGACAAGCACAAAAGTCACGAGAAGATTAAAACCGGCTAAAACAAGATTACGATGGAGAAAAAACGATGGAAAACTTACGGCATGTTGTGATAAGGTCGGCAACGCCGCAGCTCTCGAAGAAGGTGGTGTCTCGAACCGAGGGAAACAGCAGCTTTGAGAAGAATCGCATCTCTTTCAGCCCGATTCGCATGATTGCGGCCTGCAAGAATTTCCAATACAAGAGAAAACGTGGGGAATATATTCATGGCAAGAACGCAGTCACCTTTGTGTTGTTGCCCATGTCCAAGCCATCCACCAGACCTGCGGTTACATCAAAGAGTATAACTTTAATATATGCGAAAGAGTGAATAGCTTTACCAGCGGCAACAGCAACGACGTTTTTCAGTGTTCCACACAACTCCACGCCTTCCACATCTTGTACCTGTAAGTAGGATCAAAACAGGAAAGCTTGTCACACACAGAGAGAGAGAGAGAGAGAGAGAGAGAGAGATTAAAAAAAAAAGGATTATGAAAACACTCACAGGAGTCACCAGGAAATAAGGCCTGCGAAAAATTCGCACCCATTTATCTGCAGCTCGCTTATCATGCCTGAAGCCAACAGTTGCTTCGCTAAACTTCTCCACGGCTACCTGGCGAGTTCTCTCATGTTTGAGACAGAGGGTTCACCAAACTTTGAAAGATTCTACCTCGTTGGCAATATTTGCACCCATGAGAACAGCGCAGTCAATTCCAAGAAGCTCCGTGATCAAGTTGGAGATCATGCATGGCCCGTCTTTCTTGACCTGGATGAGAAAAAAACGAAGAAAAAGCCAAAGAAAAAGGATTTTGTAAGAAAGAGCTAAGAGCTAGTCTAGAAGTGAAACACAGCTAGTTAGTCTATAGAAAAGAGAAAATAGTACCTCCATTCCTTTTATCAGCGAGATGGCAATAGCATTCTGGCGTATGTTTCCTTTCAATCTATTGCAAATTCCCTCGATAAACTGGTGAGGAGTTACGAACACCAACATCGTTGCATCAGCCACTGTTTTGTTTCTTGGTTAGAACATATTTCCTTTAGAACACACGAGAAAACGAAAAAAGGAGAGGAGCATCGCTTACCAGCATTCAAAAGGTCTGGCACTGCAACTACATTGGATCCAAGCTTAACTCCAGGCAAGTATTTCACATTTTCCTGCAAAGACCAATGGTTTTCCATAGCTTTCTCGTTGAAAGAAAGAAAGAACACGACTTCCTATGAACGAACCTTTTCCCTGTTGATAACCTGCGAAAGCTTCTCCCCGCTTGGAAGAGTTTCTTCGTAGACCCACATCCTCACCTCATCTAAAGCACAAAAACTCTAAGAAAGAAAGTTCTAAAGAGGGACTCGATCGATCGATACTTTACCATCGAAGAGATCAGAGCAGCAAGTGTTGGAAGCGATGAGCTTGGCCGCAACGCTCCCCCAATTCCCACTCCCAATCACCGCAACCCGATCTCTCGCAGCAGTAGCGATGGACTCCGAGGACGCGGAGGTAGCATCATCCTCCACCACGGCAGCAGCAGCATCGAGCGGCGTGATCTTCTGGATCTCTGGCGAGGACGGTGCCACCTCCAATCCGGGAGGCGCCATGGTAGGATCTAGAGATGGAGAAGAGAGGCAAGAAAGGGGGTTAAAATAAAAGGCTTGAATCTCGAGAGGAAGAAGCCATGGCCACACTTACTCGCAGCACAGTGGAGGGTGGTGGTGGCGATACCCCTGGTGGCGGGAGATTGTCCGCTTGTGCCATGCAATGCATGCCACCCTCCGCCCACGGCCCGCCATTCATATATTTCCCACTCCAAGGAACGGCTCAAAAGGTCTTTTCCATATTCACTTAATTAGTGCTAACTTTTAATTATAAATTTTATATGCTCAATGGTCTTTTATTTTGATCATAAAAAAGATAGCGATATCGCGTTCTTTGAACATCACTGGAGTGAAAGAACGTGAAGTTTACACGGAAAAGAAAAAAAAACAGGAAAAAGAAATAATAAGCAACCTGTCACCAATGGCTATAACCCGGAGACCTCTTTCCAGAGGTGATGGGATTACGAACGTTCCTGTTTGATTGGCACGTTATTTATGAGATACATTCCAATAGCGACGTACCAAAACCTTTGGAACAACCTCTCATCCTCGATGGAAAGTTTTGCTATACACGGAACAAGAGAAACAAGCTTGGAAAAACTTACAAGTCACAGCAAGGCCGAAGCTTTGGATTTGCAGAGCCACATCACTGCGTGCTCAACGCAAATCATTGCAGCTTCGGCATGCACCGACTGATCCGGCCTTCGTCGTCAGCTGCTCCAGAACTGGAGAGTTCTTGATTCCCCTGAGCAGTTCCCCCGGCTCCAATGGCGCCACAATGAGTGCCGCAACGTGATCCATGGGCTTAGCTGGGTCAAAGTCCAGTCGCTTACAATTCCTAAAGTCATAGTGGGACGTATTCCACTTCACGGTAGGCTTGAACAACGGCGTTCATCAACTGCTGCGAGTGACAATTGCCTCCTACCAAAAACTCGGCTGGCAGTCACCAGATCCTAAAAGAAATTTGAGTATATGTGCTGGAAACAAGGAAAGCATTACCTCTTTCAGGAAATATAGTCCGTCAAGCACACTCGCTTCAAGAGTCCCCAGATCGCCTGGAGAGCGACCAGGAGGTCCAAGTCCACCTCCTTGACACTGCCCAGCTACCTCAAGATGCAGCGCTGCTTCTCGAGTGTGCTGGAGAAGAGATCCCCCACGTAGAGGATGCGATCCACGACACCGATATCAGTGAGAGTGAAGCTCCCAGACCCATAAACGTTTCTGAGACATTTGTGCTCTCTACATTCCGCGACCACCTCGCGGGCCAAATCCTTGCAGCACCTCGCAAGTTTGTCATCCCTGGAGCGCAGCGCCTCCTTGCAACTTTGAGCATCTTATGCTTCATTATATTGATATAATTGATATATATTGTATTAATGGAAAATAAGAACCTTGGCTTACAAGAATGTGTGCAACTGGTGAAATCTTGCAAGACTGTACACGAAGAAGCTGAGCGAGTCTATCTAACAGTGCGTAACTCCGGCCATCTCTCCAGTCCCGATGGGACGTTTCTCTCCAATTTGTTGCTCCATATGTTTGTGAGCTGCGGGAGCCTCCAGCGTGCCCACCACATCTTTGACACCACGCATCCAAAGACTGCTTTCACTTGGGTCCTCTTGATCAATGGCTATGCGCGAAGTGGACGCGTCGACAGCGCGAAAGAGCTCTTTGATCGGATCCCTCACAGAAACCTTGTGGCTTGGAATTCGATGCTCTCCGCATATGCCCAAAACGGGTATGTTAGAGATGCCACGGAGATATTCCACCAGATGCCCGAGTGGAGTGTCATCCCGTGGACTGAAATCCTAGCTGCGTTTTCCCGAGACGGGAACACCCGCGAAGCCAGGTATTGGTTTGAAATTGCTGTGGAGAGAGACATTGTTTGCTGGAACGCGCTTCTTTCAGCATTTGCCTTGAAAGGACAACTTGAAGAGGCCAAACGAGTGTTTTACGCCATGCCACAGTGGAACTATTTCTCCTGGAATTTGATGCTCAGTGCGTACGTGAAGAACAATCTTATTCATGATGCACTGGAGCTTTTCCTTCGTTTGGATGAGCAAGACACTGTCACTAGAAACACCATGCTTTCAGGATTTGGACAAAGTGGCGATATTGATCGAGCTAAGAAACTGTTTGATCAAATGCCCGAGTGGAGTTTAGTGTCGTGGAATTCCATGCTCGCTGCTTATGCCCACGTTGGAGATTTGAGCTCCACTTTAAAAGTGTTTGAAACTATGAACTGTCGAGATCTCTTTTCATGGACTACACTTCTGGCTGCGTGGTCACAAACCTGGAACTTGGAAGAATCTAAGAAGATCTTTGACGCCATGCCCGAAAGAAACTTGGTCTCTTGGAATACACTCTTGTACGCGTATGCCCATTTTGGGCATATCTATGAAATGGAGGCTTTCCTGAGCGAAATGCCAGAAAAATCTTTAGTTTCATGGAACATTCTTCTTGCTGGTTACGGCCAGCGCAAGGAATTCAAAGCTGCCAGCAGCGTTTTTAACAACATGGTCCAAAGAGATAGCATCTCATGGAATCAGATGCTAGGAGCATTTGCACAAAAAGGATATCTACTTGAGGCTGTCCGGTTTCTAGATCGGATGCCCAAACTGGGCATGGCTTCTTGGAACACTTTGTTGGTAGCATTTGCACACAATGGCCACCACTGCACTGCTTTAGATCTCTTCTCCGTTATGCTTCTAAATGGTTTTGAAGTGGATGAGATTTCTCTCATTTGCGTGCTAATTGCATGTAGTCGTGCCGGACGTTCCCAAAGAGCAAGAGTGTTCTTCCACTCGATCCAAACGGACTTTTGCTTTGCTCTAACGAGGCAGATCTTCAGCTGCATGGTTGATCTTCTTGGACGAGCTGGGCGCTTGAGAGACGCCGAGGATCTCGTCCAGCATATGCCTTTCCAGCCTGAAGTCACCGATTGGAGATGCATTCTAAGTGCTTGTAAAAGCCACAAGGACGATCAGTCGACAGCTCGAGCCGTAGAGAGAGTTCTTGGATTAGATCCTGTCAATAATGCCGCGTTTGTGCTCCTCTCAAATTCAAAGATAAGAGAAAATCTCTGTTAAATCAAACTCCCTAGTTTTAGGATCACCAACTTTGATCCGCTAGCCTCATGTCATAGGCACTCGTTTCTAGTATTTAACATTGTTTCTAGAGCTTCTTTTCCTATCTCTCAATATAACCTTCCATTCTCTATGGCTCACACTTTTCTCTTTGCTATTTCTCTCTTTGCTGTTCTTGCTAGCGTTGTTCTAGCTACCAACACCAACACCTCATGTTTCCCAGGTAAGAATCTACAAGCGATTTTACAGCCAATCACAGGCTTTATGTTTGCAAGGCGATGCCACCGTCCAAATGTATAACGGCGACCTCAAACTCATGAGAGATCTCGAAGTTGGAGACAAGGTATTCTATTGCTCTTAAGTTTCTCGAAAGCCCATCTAAACGTTCCAGATCTACAGGTTGCAGTGAGCAAAAACGTGTTCTCCGATGTCTATGCATTCGGCCACAAGGACGCCGATGTGATCTCCGAGTTCATCCAGGTCCACACCGCCTCAGACATGATCGAGCTTAGCGAGGGCCACTTCATCCCAGTCGACGCCAAGGGAAAGCTTGTGTACAAGCGAGCCAAGGATCTCCAGGTTGGAGAAACTCTCTGGGGATCATCTCAAATCACTGGTAACATCATACTTCTTTTGAGACTTTGCTCTTACTTTGACAACTATAGAACTTTCCAAGGTGGAGAAGCTGGGCCTCTACAACCCATTCACTCTCTCCGGCAACATCATGGTTAACAACGTGGAGGCTTCCTCTCACAGCGAGTGGTTCCTGGACTCCCTCTTTGATGCCATTGGCGCAACTGAGTACCTCCCATATGCATACCAGGCCGTGCTCGCTCCACTTCGTGCCATCTACAACATCGTCGGGAAGGAAATCTATGGAAAGGGTTATGCTGCCGTCAATTCTTGTGTCAACGTTGCTGAATTTGGAATGAAGCACGGAGGAAGCATCGCTCTTGCTGTTGGAATCGCTGGAGTTGCAACAGCAATGCTGACGAAGGCTTGATGAAAAACCAGAAGTAGAATAAATAACATCTTTTATGCTTTGATTATTCCCCTTCTTTATTTATATCCAACTCTATTCTGAATGGTTTATTATTTGTTTAGTGGATATACCTAAAATATACTTGGATATTTTAGAATTTTTTACCATCAAATGGTTATTATTCCTTTAGAATAATCTAGTGTTTATAATTTATGATTATAGCATATTCTAGCTTATTTAGCTTTTATACCATTAGGTTAAACTTATTTTTATTAAAAACATGATGGTATGTGGTTATGCTCCAACTACTCTGTTTAGGAAAAACATTTTCTTGTAATACATAAATCATAATAATTTGCTATAATACAAACTAAGCAAACATGCAATATGGTCACAGTTTATTATTATTTATCAACCAAGGCTTGATGAACCATAAGTAAAATAAAATCTAAATTTCACAAAATGGAAAAAAAAAAAAGAAAACTGTATTCCATTATTTTGATTATTCCCCTTCTTTGTTTATATCTAACTCCCGATTTTATATTCTAAATGGTTCATTTCTGGTTTTCTTAAGCAAACATCTTGGTAGTAAATATACTTAGAATATAGTTGAATATTCTATAATAGTTTACAGTTTAAAAGTTAATATTTATTTATAATAATATCGTCATTAAATTTAAACATGATTATAAATTATAAAATTTTCCTAAACACCTTCTAGGTCTAACTTTTATGCCATTATATTAATCTTGTGTTTATTAAAAATATTCTTAAACACAACAATTTGTTATTTGTTCTAAAACCACTTTTATAATGCTTTTGTATTATTAATATTAGTATATTTAAATATAAATATAAGTTGGCCTTTACATAAGTATATTTTAAATAATTAATTTAATATATTTTAAATAATATATTAAATTAAGTGATTAGTTTCAAAATTTGCAAGATTAGTTCCATGAATATAATGAAAAATAAAATAAAATAAATATAGTATTGTGAGGTACAGCTATAGATGTGAGGTCCAAATGTATAGCTATAAATACAAGGTCTAGATATATGGCTATAATATTATATATTAATATTATTATAGTATGGTTTTAATAGCC